GTGAAAAGACCAGGAATTTCCCTCTCTTGGGGGTAAAAACTTGTGTATGTCTCCATTTTGGGTGAAAAAAATGGGAAATCACCCATATTTTGGTGGAAGAAATCTGTGATTTTTTTCCATTTCTGAGGGAAAGAAATGGGAATTCCCCCATTTTTGGTGGAAACCCCCCATTTTTACCCTGATTTCGGGGTAAAAATTTGTGAATTTCTTGGGGGGATAAAGCAGTCGGGAACATTGGGAATGCTGTGAATCCCAGGAATTGCAACATTTCCTGTTTTTTCCCATTTTTGCAGCCGCTGCAGCGGACGCTGTCAGACGAGAGCCTCTGCGGGGGCCGCCGGGATCCCCCCGGGTTCAACCCCAATTCCCCTTCCCGGGATTTTCCCGAGACTTTTCCCGGGGGGTTCCCCTCCAGCACCCTGCCTGGCAGGAGGGGCCCCCAGGACAAAAAAGGTGAGGATTTTGGGAATTTCGGGAATTTTGGGGGGGTTTAGAGGGGTTTTGTGGGAATTTAGGGGTGTTCTGGGGTACTTTGTGGGGATTTAGGGAGTCTTGGGGGGATTTGCGGTGCTTGAGGGGGAACCTAGAAGGAATTTGGGAGATTTTGGGAAGTTTTTGGAGTTTGGGGAGGTTTGGAAGAAATTTTTGGGTGTTTGGGAGGGATTTAGGGGAGTTTTTTTAATTTTGAGGGGAAATGATGGAGTTGTAGGGGAATTTGAGAGAATTTAGAAAGAATTTGATAAATAAAAGGGGAATTCTGGGGATTTTTGGAGGGATTGATGGAATTTTTGGGAATTGCTGGAATTTGGGCTCCTCCAGGCCCTGTGGCCCGGCTGGATCCAGGGCTGATCCCGCTGCCGGACACGGCTGGGCTGGAATGGGCCACCCTGGTCAGCGCTGCCAAAGCCTATGAAGGTAAAGCGGGGGAATCCCAAAATGGGGGGGAAAAATTGGGGTTTTGGGATTGGAAATGAGAATTGGAATCCTGCAATTGGGGGGAGGAGGGGAGGGATTTGGGAGCTTAAAGGGTTGGACAGTGGGGATTTGGGATATTTTGGGCTATTTCTGGGTGGTTTCAGGGATTTTTGAACTCCTTTGGGTATCTTTGGGCTGCCTTGGGGGGATTTTGGGGTGGTTTTGAGTTTTTTGGGGGTATTTTTTGAAATTTTTCTGGGTGTTTCAGGAGTATTTTGGTCCCCTCCCAGTGCAGAGAGTCATGTCCCTGTTGTTTTGGAGTATTTTTATGATGGTTTTTTGTGCTTGGGGGTATTTTGAAGTGGGTTTTGGGGGTGTATTGTACAGTATTTTTGGCCATTTTGGGATAGTTTTGGCTCCCCCCAGTGCAGAGAGCCGTGTCCCTGTTCTTTGGGGTGGTTTTTGGGGTATTTTGGGGCTATTTTAGGATATTTTGGGATGGTTTTGGCTCCCCCCAGTGCAGAGAGCCGTGTCCCTGTTCTCCCTGACCGACCCCGCCCTGAGCCCGGAGCCGCCCCCTCCCCCCTCCGAGAGGCCCCAGCGGGGGGGGGGTCCTCCCCCCTCACCAAGGTACACCCAAAATTCGGGGGGGGAAGGTATAGAGGGAGTCTGGGAGGGGATTTTGTGGGAAAAAAAAGGGGATTTTGGGGCGTTTGAGGTGGGAATTTAGGGAAAAGCAGGGAGCAAGGGGGGAATTTGGAGGGAAAAAGGGGGATTTTGAGGGGGTCTGGGAGGGATTTTGGGTGGGAAAAGTGGATCTTGGGGGAGCTAAAGGGGTAGGAATTTAGGGAGGTTTGGGGTTTCCAGGGAGTTTGAGGGGATGATGGGGGAATTGCAGGAGGATTTTACAGGTGAAAGGGGAATTTCTGGGGGGAAAAAGGAAGAATTTTGGGCTGTTTGAGGTGGATTTGAGATTTTGGGATCAATTTTTTGTTGTATTGGGCCATTTTTGTGCCTTTTAACCTTTTTTCCCATTCCCACCCCTCTCAATTCCAAATTTTCCCCCCAGTCCCTCCCCAGCCCCCCTGGACCTTCCAGGAAAAGTTTCCCAGTTGGAAGCGATGCTCAAACAGCTYCACAGCGACCTGGAGAAGGTGAGAGGGCACCCAAAATCCAACTTTCTCATCCCAAAATTCCCATTT